AATTTGTGTTGTTTTAAAATTAATTTGTACTTATCTGTGCGTGAGCCTGGTCAGTACCTGGATGGGAGACCTCCTGGGAAAAACTAAGGTTGCTGCTGGAAGAGGTGTGAGTGGGGCCAGCAGGGGGTGCTCACCCTGTGGTCCACGTGGGTCCTAATGCCCAAGTATAGTGACGGGACACTATACTGTAAAACAGGCGTGGTCCTTCGGATGAGACGTAAAACCGAGGTTCTAACTCTCTGCGGTCATTAAAAATCCCAGGGCGTTTCTTGAAAAGAGTAGGGGTGTAACCTACTGGCCAAATTTCCCATTGGCCCTAACCAATCTTGGCTTACTAATAATCCCCATCTATGAATTGGCTTCATTACTCTGCTCTCCTGATAGCTGATAGCTGGTGTGTAGTGAGCGTTCAGGAGCATTCAGGTGCACTATGGCTGCCATCGCATCATCGCACATTGGTGGTGGTGGAGGGGAGTCCCCATTACCTGTAAAGCGCTTTGAGTGGAGTGTCCAGAAAAGTGGTATATAAATGTAAGCAATTATTATGGATTCATTCCTATTAGTATTATAAATTGGTACACACACACAATTGTAATTATTATTGGAGTGTTGTAGTTCCTTTACGAAAGTATATAGGAACTACACTTTGGTGTAAGCATCTAATGTCAGGTTTCCAAGGTGAGGCTGTTCCGTAGCATTGGGCAAATCCCACAGTATGTTGTGAATTGTTTGGACTTTCATCTGTGGAACAAATGCCTGGTCATGAGGGTGAGTATGTTGGAACCCAGAATGTGTTGTGATGATCGCTGAGAGGCATTTACCTGTTATTTATATTTGTACTTTAATAAGCAAGTTCAGGACAACAAAGCAAAGGCAGAGGCAATTGTGTTCCTGTTTTAATGAGAATTACAAAGAAACTTTTCCCCTTAAAGTATTTTACGAACAAATTTGTTTAAAAAAAAGAGAGAAAATCATTCAAGAGGTGACCCACCCGCACCCAGGAACTACTAAGATGGTTCAAGGTCTTTCGACTAATAAAGGCGTTTCTCCCTTGGTTTTACAATTTGATTACTGGACAAGGCTGAGAACCTGTCTTTCTTTCA